CCTGGCGTTCTAGCAGGCATCCACATGCCAGAGGGCACGGTGGTGGTTGACAGCCACCTGCGACAATGTTGGAGCACCCTTGGCCACCGATCTCTATTCTGGACCCTTCGCGTAACCCCACCAGATTCCGGGCTCATCCCCCCTCTTCCGGCAGGTTGCGTCATTCCTCGTTCCTCGGCAGCTCAGCTCCCCTAACCAGCACACGTCGTTGGGACGGATTGGGCCTGGCGCCCCACTGGCTACTCGCTCATCGGGCTTCGCGCCTGCCCCCACCCAGTATGACGGGCACGTCTGCCCCGGTGCACGTCTCGCTGTATGGGTTATGCCTCACGGCAGGCAACGAATTTCTCCACATTTTATCAGACTGCATGTGCCCGAGCTTCCCAGGATGTCCCCTGCCGTCAGCTTCCCGCACAGCCCCGCGGCTGCTTTGTGAGTGGGCCGGCCGGCTAGCGGCGCGTCTTGTAGCTAATTAGGCTTGCCCGTCGACCCGGACACCTTGTTCGCCGCCTGCGCTCTTCGCTCGCGGCCGCGACCCAAAAAGGTAACCCCACCAGCCCAGCCCCCCATCTGAGGCCTCGGCCGCGCTTAGTTGACGCCTCGCCCGTCGCTCTGTTTGTTCTTCCCGCGTTTCCCTTGCCTAATTCGTCTCTGCGTAGCCCGCTTTGACCTGACTCGCCGCCGGCGCGCTCGCCTGCGACTGCTGACAAAAAAAGTAACCCCACCAGCCCATCCACAAACTAACCCTGGGCGGGTTGCCCTGATCAGGCACGTGGGGGGCCACGCGGTGGAGTGAACGAAGGCTGGGAAGCGGGTGTACCTCGAGTGGGGGAGGATGGATGACGAACCAGAGGGGGAGGTGGAGTAGGAGGAGGAGGAGGAGGAGGAGGAGGAGGAGTAGGAGGAGGAGGAGGAGGAGGGGGAGGAGGAGGAGGAGGAGGAGGAGAAGGAGGAGGAGGAGGAGGAGAAGGAGGAGGAGGAGGAGGACAAGCTAGGTGCGCTCGAATCATATCTGACATCCTACCCCTTCCTCCCATCCCTTACCATGGCGCAGATCCCCTCTCTACTCGCACAGTCGGACGTCGAGCAGGGCAATGATCCCGAAAGGGTACGCGATGCATTGTAGAGTACGGCGTGGCATGGCGTAGAAGCGCACCGCAAAGCGTAGCGTCAACCGAGCATTGCATTGCATGCCGTGGCATGGCACGGGAAATGACGCCAGCGCTGCGGCGGGAGCAGGAGTCGAAACGAGCGGAAGCGCGGAAATGAGGCCAGCGCTGCAGCGGGAGCACGATTCGGAACGAGCGGAAGCACGGAAATGAGGCCAGCGCTGCAGCGGGAGCACGATTCGGAACGCGCGGGGCCCGAAAATGGGGCTGGAGCCTCAGCGAGAGCAGCATTTTGAAACAAATGCATGCGAAAACCCAGCTCCGGGGAAACCTGTGTGTAAAAAACAGTGCGCGGGGGGGGTCGGACACTCCCAGGCCGTCATCAGGGGAAGAGGGAGAGTAGTATTCATATTGAGTAATTGTGGAGGAGGAGGGGGAGGAGGAGGAGGAGGAGGAGGAGGAGGAGGAGGAGAAGGGAGGAGGGGGAAGGTGGAAGGGAGTAGAAGGAATAGGCGGACGGGGAGGAGGCACTGGAGGAGTGCGAGCAGAAAGGCCAGAGGAATCTCGTTTTTGTGTCCTCAGAGTCTCTTCGGATGTATCCCGAGAGCTTCTTGCAGGCCTGTTGAGGCGCCTTGGGGGCCCCTTGGCGGTCCTGGGGAGCCCTTGAAGCGTCTTGGGTGCCTCGGGGGAGCCTCTTGGGGTCTCTGGGGGGTCTCTGGGGGGAGGGTCTCGGGCGGCATCTTGGGGGCCTCTTGGGGCCTCCTGGGCGCCTCTTGGGGCCCTCTTGGTGCACGCTTGGGGGCCTCGGGGGCCATCTTGGAGGTGATCGATCAAAAAAGGGGGGTCCAGTCAGCCCCCCCCCCAAAGAATGCCCAAATTGGCCCGAATTCATTGTAAAAAAGCGATATTGGCCTTCTCGCCGAGGCCATCTTGGACGCTCTAACGACCCGCCTTCCCTGTCCAGGTTCAGGGGTAGGGGGTAGGGGGAGGGGTAAAATCCTTCGCGAAGGGGAAGAAGGCGAGTCGGAAGAGGAAACTCGCTAAACCACTCACGCCCGTAAGGGCTGGTGGGATTCAGGATGAAGAGGTGTTCCTGGGGAAAGCCTTGGGGTCGAGAACTCCAGTCGGGAGTTCCCGAACCGTGCGGTGACCACACCGTGTGGTGAGTCAGTGGGGATTCGGGGATACCGCACGGTGTTATAACTCGGATCGTTCTGCGATGACGTCTTGGGCGACAGGGACCTCCAAGGTCCCATGGCCGTGCGGCGACGGACCGTGCGGTGAGGTCGTTTGGGGTTCTGAGGTCACCGCGCGGTCTGTCACCGCCCCGCGTTTGGATCCCCAAAGAGCGATTCAGGATGAAGAGCTGATCCTGGGGAAAGCCCTGGGGTCCAGGACTCCAGGACGGATGCACCTCCTCGGAGGTTTAAGTCGGCATCGGCGATAGTACACCCGTGGTCGACAACAGGCCTGATCCGGCACAGTCTCGCACAATCCGACCGAGTCGGGCTTAATCCTGGGCTCAATCCGGGCGAATTCGGTTCCATGGCCTCTCAGTCTGGCTCTGCAGCCCTTCATACTTCTCGCGAAGACCTCCGCGCGTTGCCTCGGGGACCACGCGCTTCCTTCAGGACTCAGGACCCTCTTCCCTTTGTGGCAGCAGGGCCCTCGGGAAGGCCAAGTCCCTTTTCGGGAGGCCCAAGATGACGAACGAACGAACAACACACACACACACCCATACCCATACGGGCGGTCGTTGGGAGGAGGACTGGCTATGGGTATGGGTGCGGGTTGTCGGACCCTGGGGAACGCTCCCGGTCGAGCGGGGACCCCCATCCGACGACACGTACCCATAGCCCTCTCCGACCCCCCTATGGGCATGGGTGTGTGTTGTTGGTTCGTCACAAGACGCCCCTCGCGAGGGCCAAGGCGCCCCTCGGGAGGCCCCAGGCGCCCCTCGGGGAAGCCCAGGGCGCCTCCCGTGACGCCCAGGACGCCCTGGCCCTCCCGCGAGGCGTCTGGGGCCTCCCGGGCGGCGCCTTGGGCCTCCCGGGAGGCGCCTTGGGCTTACGGGAGGGCCTCTTATAGCTCCCGGGACGTGTGCCTCCCGGGAGGCCCAAGACGCCTGCCGGGAGGACCAGGTCCCAGCCCCCTGACGTCATGATTTTTTCATGACGTCGACCCCAAAGGTTTCGACCTGTTTCCCAGGACCGGTCCCGAGGCCCGGTAAGGGCCCCGAGATGCCGAAAATCGTGAAAAACCTCCCGTCGTGATTTTTTTAATTCCTCGAGGGGGTCTGGGGAGGTGGTGCGCAGGCGGGGGCACACGGCGAGGGGGCGGGCGGCCTCCTGGGCTGGCACGGGGGCCCCTCGGAGGCGATCCACTGGCCCGCTCTCCGGAGGCTCGCTGCGGGGGCGCCCCCATCGGAACCCAGACCCCCTCGAGTCGCGAAAAAATCATCACGGGAGGTTTTTCGCTATCTTCGCACCATGGGGACCCTTACCGGGACTCGGGACCGTCAAAAAACGGCTCGGGACGAAAAACTGGTCCCGGGGAATAGGTCGAAACCTCTGGGGGTCGACGTCATGAACAAATTATGACGTCGGGGGTCTGGGAAGGCAGGGCGCTGTCTGACAGGCGGTGCGCGTTCTCAGAAGGCCGCCTTCCTCAGTATCGTTTTTCCCGATCCCCAACCCCATCCTGATCCCTGTCCCGATCCCCACCATCTTGCCACCCCAGTTGGGGACATGCCTTTCGAAACCCGAAGGGAACAGCCTATATCCCCATCCAGGGGGGGTGAATCGGCCAGTGGTGCCCAGGCAACGCCAGTGGGGATAGGATAGGATCGGTTCATCGATGTCCACTTCCCTCGCTAGCCCCGCCCTCTTTTTTTTCGCGCTGCCAACGATCGCTCTAGGGGCGCCACCCACGCCGACGTTCTCAGTTGACCCCTGCCCCGAGCAGGCACCGCGTGCTAGAAGTGATGGGCCTGTTCCCACCACCACCACCATAAGTTGGAGGAGGAGGAGGAGGAGGAGGAGGAACCCCTCCCCCTCCTACTTATCGTGGCGGCGGTGGAAAACAATCCCACCAAGAAGCGCCCCCCGTCGGTGCACGAACGGTCAGGAGCGCACGGTCCTGGCCCACCGCGCTTCGGCGCGACACGCTAGCCGCGTCCCAGTCTCCGAGCATCAATGGTCCAAGCCTTTCCCAGCCCCCCGCCCCGCGGAGTGGAGCGACACGCTACAGTGGAGGCCCATGCCAACAAGCACCCTGCTTGCCTCCAGGGTGCCCTGGGCTTCTTGGGCTTCGATACTTCTGCAATGGGAAGCGTGACATCCCCGTGGACGTCCTTGGGTCTCCGGGTCGGGCTTCTTGTGGAAGGTCTCGTGTGGACTGGCCTCCACTGTTCGCTTGCAAGACAGCGCATGTCACCAGGCCCCCCCCGCAGCGGACCCCCCTTGTTCGCACGCAAAGGGCTGGGACGCGTGACTCCCTGCAGTCTCGGGCGACTGGGGCCTCCGGGGTCCCAGAGCCGTGCGACGACGGACCGTGCGGTGGTGCGGTCGCCAGGGATTCCGAGGTCGCCGCACGGTCTGTCACCGGCCCTCCCTTGGACCCCCAAAGAACCACTCAGGATACGGGGGGGCCGTTCGTTAAAGAACGTGCCCAGGAGGCTTCCGGCCCTGGAGGGTTCTTTTTTTGATGAGGGCGGCGGTGATATCAGTGGCCAATCCACGATCGGCTTTCCACCGGCATCCAGACCCTGGATTCCTTATCGAAGGCTTCCTCATCCATCACCGTAAAGAGCTGGTCCTGGGGAAAGCCTCGCGGCCCAGGACCCTGCAGTCTCTCGTGTCGCACCTCCGGGACTGCCCCCCCCCCCCGCAGGACCTGCAGAGGCGGGATGAGCAGCTCAGGACCGCCCCTCGTGCTGCCGTCAACGCGTTGCCTCCTCCCCTCTCTCTCGCGCGCTCTCTCTCTCTCTTTTCTATCGCCCTCTATGTTTTCCGATGTTCTCCCTCACCCTTCTTCCACACATCTATCCTTACGTATACACAGATATATGTATCTGAGCACACACACACACACACACACTTGCGTACATACATAGACAGTATACCCCACATCAAGATTCATCTCTCGCTCTCTATTTCTCATCTCTCTCTTCCTCACTCCTCTCTCACTCGCCTCTCTCTCCCTCTCGATATTTCTGTCTTCCGCTAATGGGGCCTCCCTCTCCCCACCAAATCCCTCCCACTCCATATGCGTCCCACCCCATGCCCTATCCCCTTCTCCCTACCTGCACTCCTCTCTTGTCTCCTCCACCTCCATCAGAGGCTCGCACTAGTGAGCTACACTTTCCAGGTGCCTGCGCCAAGTTCCGCCACGGTTCCAGGGTATCACTCTGCTTGATGACCCCCAGATGATCAGAGCGCCGCAAGATGTGCAACGGTTGGTCATTTGGCCTCGACGGGGATGGGCTGGTAATTTTCTTGGAGCGTCCTCGGGCATCTTGGCAGCCCGCTTAGGGTGCAACTCCTGGGAAGTGAATTGTTACCTCAGGACTGTTGCCAGTACAACGGACGCCATGGGACCCTCCCAGCCATCCTTGCCCCTACAAGGCTTGGGAACGGGGGCTCAAAGTCATTGGTGCGCGTTTGCACATGTGGAACAGTCGGGCGGCCCGCCTGAAGCCTGAAGCAGAGACTTAGGAGGAGGAGGAGGACGAGGAGGAGGAGGAGGAGGGAAGGAGCCACAGCGTTAGTTCAGAGTGGAGCAGGCGGGAAGGGGTGGAGACAGAGGATCCGTGGTGGATGCAGCCCGTCGTGGCAGGAGCGACGGCCCCTGCCGGAGAATGCGATCTGCAAGCTCCAGTTCGGGGGTCATAGGCTCCTAGGGGGGATGCATCGACCCCCTATCGCTCGTTCATCGCCGACAGGCCCCACCCCGCCCAGGATCGTTCGGATCTGCTGTTGGTGGCCTGTCGCAGATCTACCGGCGATGCATATCGCCGATTCCAGGTCGATGTTCCTCCCCCTCAGCGTATCCTCCCCTAACGTTGCTCATCCTTCTCTTGGCGCACATGACCAGGTATGTTCCTGGGAGGGCAGAGGCGATCCATGAACATCTGCTGGCTCATTCCGAAAACCGGCCTGGGAAGTCAGACATGAGGCGACGCAGCAACCAAACAAGACGAGCCACGGGAATTTACCGATTCGTTCTCGAGGTTCCCTGGCTTGTCTCAGAGCGTCCTGGCTCTTACCTTCGATTCTTGGTTCGCTTGTTTCCCCGCGGCGGGAGGTTGTAAAACCGTCTCGCTGCGCCTCGTTCGCAAGAGCCCAGGCTGGCCCGCGCGGACTTGACCAAGGAGGCCGCGAGGATCAAGCACCTCAGCAGCAACCTGGACGAGGCCAAGGAGTACAACGCGAAGGTGAAGGCGGAGTTCGAGGCTCCCGGCGGGGCCGATTCGGCGGGGTCTCGGCTGGGCCATGAGCGTTCTGCTTGCTGCGTCCATCGGCACCCTGTGTGTTGAAGTACAGTCGGGGCCCTGAAGAAGGAACCCTTTTCGTTGGGGAGGGGATCCGCGTTCCTTAAGTGTTTCACAGCTTGCCTTGGATTTTCCTTAGGTCTTCGATAGGAAATCGAAGTTCAACTTATGGAGAAAAGGGGCCTCGTTCCTTATTTAGGGTTCCTTACGTCAACGCCCCGACGGTAGTTGCGCACAGGAGGGAAAAGGGTACTGATACCGCTGCCTTTCCCTCGTGCGGCTTGCTTGGGCCTCCTGGTAATTCGGCCCTCGTCGCCACGACTGGATTCGCTACGACATTTTGGTCAGGATGCACCCCGGGAGAGCTCTGGGGAGCAACGGTCTGTGTATATGTATATATATATAGACCGTTACATATAGTTATATACACATATATACACATATAGACCACCTGACAAATCTAGACATATCTGTATATGGACATATATATATATACACGGTTAGATCGATTGATACATGTGTATAGATGTATATAAATATGTGTGTGAATGTGTACATCTATAAAAATACACACATACATACACAGGCCATGTATCTAAACATAGAGTGGTTTCCGCATTAACGCCACTTGTCGTGCAGGCCCCCCGAAAGAAGGCCTGCAAGGGAGGTCGCCCATATTCCCCTGGCGCGCGCATTGCCCACCGAGCACCCCGCTAGTGAACTACTGCGAATGTCCCCGCTAATGACCTGCGGAAGACTGGGACGCACTGGTGCAATTTAACCCACGGGTGGCCCACTCATTCATTTGTCACTGTCCATGGGCCGCACCTGATCCTTGAAAGCATCAGTCTATCTCTCCCGCGCCCTGCCGAGAGCGACGAGGTCGTGGGCGCGGACGTGGGCGCGAGCGACAGAGCAGGCAAGGCTGCGAGCGCTCGGGGCGGGTCTCCCTTCGTGGGCGGTCGAGCTGGCTTTCCGTCGGAGGCGAAGCCAGACGGCGGTCCGTGTCCTCTTGGGGCTGGGCTCGCTGTCGGTGCCGGGACGAGCGGAGGCGAAGGCCGACGGCGGTCCGTGTCCTTTTGGGATTGGGCTCGCTGTCGGTGCCGCCGCGGACGTTGCCCTCTCGAGGCGGCAGGTCGCCTGCCAAGCAGCGACCGCTGCCGGTGCTTCCGTACTATACCCACTGCGGTCCTATATGCCTCTTTCGGGTATGGCCAGGGCCCCGGGTAAGGGGACCCGGTCAGTGGTAGGACCCCGGAGCCTTCGAATTGGCCAGAATCACTGAACCAGGTTAGCCATAGCTGGTGTTTTTTCGTGTGACGGCAGTTCCGGTTAGTGGAGACGGGGGAGCGCCCCCGGTACAGATCACTAAACCATGTTCCACTGAACCCAGTTCTACCAACGCCCGACTCTTGGGGGGGGGGCACTTCCCTGGAGGCTCTCGGGAGCGGGGCCGGTGCCGCGCTGCAGGGGGGGGGGGGTCTTTGGCGCCTCCCGAGCGGGCCCTGGCCAGGAGAAGGTCGCGCAGCTCGAGGCCCGGCCCGTCCGCCCCGCGTCGGGAGGGGGAGGAGGAGGAGGAGGAGGAGGAGGAGGAGGAGGAGGAGGAGGAGGAGGAGGAGGAGGATGAGGAGGAGGAGGAGGAGGAGGAGGAGGAGTCCGTAGCCGTTTTGGCTCAGGCGGTGTGCTCGAGGCTTTGCGTTTTGGCGTGGGGAGCTCGCGGCCCCAACAGTTTCCTGGCGTTGACCCGCCAGAGTACACGATACACCTCATCATGCTTCAGTTCGGTTCTGTACTGGGGTAGTGGCCCCATCTCGGCCGTACTTCTCTTCCATACGATGTCAGGGTGGGGTTGCCGAACGTGCAGTGTGTGGAACAATGGCGACCGCGCCAAATGCTATGGGTGTGGAGCCTACAACCCGAATGGTAAGCAGCCCAGTGGACAGGACCCAACCCCAGCCCGAGGCCAATGGGAGTTCGGGCCACCGCCGTTGGGTACCCCACCGTGGAGCTACCAGCAGGCCCCGCGCAACTTCTTCCGCTCGCCCTGGGTCCAGAAAGGTTCGCTGTCAGGTGGCAGGCTCCAGCAGGGTTGGCATGGAAATCAAAGTTGGCATGATCCGCAGCCCCTTTCGGATGAAGAGAAGGCTCAGTGGTTGTCCCTGGACGACAGCTCCTTCCAGTTACTCTCGGGGCGTCTCACTCAGAGCCAGCGGGACAAGCTTGCGCACGCCAGGAGGCTTAAGGCAGCTGGACAAGGCGTCCCAGATGGGGTCGAGGTCCCGCGGTCGGTCCAGGCGCTCCAGCACAAGCTTGTCGAACTTCAGAGGAAGGAGGAGCGCCAGGTCGAAGCTGCCAGGAGGGCCCTCCAGGCGGTGGGTCAGACCCAGGCGCAAGTGGAGGAGACCAGAACACAGCTTGACAAGGCCAAAGCGGATGCAGCCAAGGCCTTCGTGGGCAGCCCGACTTCGCAAGTCCAGGCAGCTCTTCAAGGGATGGACGCCAAGATCCAGGAGCTGCTCACCACCTTCGCCGAAGGCCTCGCCGCCTCGCCACGTCGGAAGGGGGTCGAGGAGAGGACGAAGCAGCTCTTGGAGGTCGTTGGGCAATTCAAGGCCACCTTGGGGGAAGCTTTCTCAGCCCTGGGCCCCACGGTCCCAGCGGCTGGAGCGGGACAGGCCACCTCCCCTGCGCTGGCAGCAGCAGACACGGGCGGAGCCCCCCAGGCTGGGGGCACTGCAATTTCGGCCCCAGCGGCGGCAGTTCTGGCGGCCTGCGCATGGTTCGGGGTTGGCTGCCGGCCCGGTGGGGGAGGGTGTGTTTATCAATCGGGAGCAGTGATAAAAACCTCCCCGAAGTGGAAGAAGTGGATTGGACAGGGGCTCTCTGAACCACTCACGCCCAGAGGGCTGGTGGGATTTCTAAGACGAGCGTGAGCGGCGCCAAGGCGAGAGCCACATTTTGAAAACTACCCGCCGTCCATGGGTGAAACTCTTGCACATCTTCAGCTCCAGTGTCATGAATGGTAAGGGAGTCCCAGGCGAAACGCCCAGCCCGCCCCACCGAAACGCCTCGGAGTGCGACAGGGAGGAAGCATCTCCAAGGAAGACGAATGGAGGAGGCGGAGGCGGGGGAGGATGAGGATAAGGACCGTGGAGGGTCTGTTGGAAGGGGCGAGGAGGAGGGACGAGGAGGAAGGACGATGAGGAAAGAAAGACGAGGGAGGAGGAGGACGAGGAGGAGGACGAGGAGGAGGAGGAGGAGGAGGAGGAGGCAGGAGGAGTGAGCTTTGTCTTCCTCCGCGGCCGCTTCTCCTCCTGGCCCCTCCACGGCTGCCTCTCCTCCTGGGCCTGCCGCGGCCTGCAGGCCCCTGGCCGGCGCCTCGTTCCTCCGCGTCGCCGCTGGCAGAGAGGTGCTTGCCTCCCCCCTCCTCTCCTCCTCCTCCCCTCCTCCTCCTCCTCCTCCTTCCTCCTCCTCCACGTCCTCCTCCTCCTCCACGTCCTCCTACATCCTCCTCATTTCCTCCCTCATCATTTTTCCTCCTCCTCCTCCTCCTCCTCCTCCTCTTCCTCCTCCTCCTCCTCCTCCTCCTCCTCCTCCTCCTGCTGCGTCCTTCATCCTCCTCGTCCTTCGCCTTTTCCTTCTCCTTCGTCCCTTTTTCTTCCTCCTCCTCGTCCTCCCTCATCCTTCCTTCATCCCTCGTCCTCGTACCTCCTTCTCGGTCCTCTTCCCCCTGGTCGTCCCCCCTCGTCCTCCCCCCTTCCCCTCCTCCTTCCTCTCCTGCCTTTCGCCCCTTCCTCCTCCTCCTCCTCCTCCTCCTCCTCCTCCTCCTCCTCCTCCGCCTCCTCCTCCGCCTCCTCCTCCTCCTCCTCTCCAGGGGCAGCATGAAGGGGGGGGCTCGGGGGGCACCGCCTCGACCGCCAATCGCCGACATCGCTCGATGGCCCACCTCGCCCAGGGTCGTGCCGTGCGCATCCGCCATCGGGGGCCTCTTGCCGACCTATCGGCGATGCATCGCCGACTCCGGGTCGATGCTCCCCCCCTGAGCTGGCCCCCCTGATGCCCCAAGCTTACTCGATGCCCCAGACGGCCCAGTGACGGACGCACCTTTCACGCCAAGGCTTCCAGGGGCTCCAGGTTGCGGTCAAGGCCCCCCAAGAGCTCCAAGTTGCGGCCAACGTATGTTCAGGCGAGGCGGTGGCGCAAGATGCTCTCAACGCCAAGGCTCCAAAGAGCTCCACAAGGCGTCCGAAGCCCTGAACGCCAAGGCTCCTCATATTCTGGGTTTCTTAATAAGCGTAGGGGGGTACCCCCCCGACGGGGGTCAATCTCGCCTCGTCGTCGCGCCGCGACGGGGGTCGGAGCGCCTTCGGCGCGCGGTGGCTGCCCGCGACGGGGGTCGATGTGGGGCTGTCGGCGGGGGTGACGCCCCCCCGACGCTTACCAAGAAACTCTGAGTACGATTGGCGTTTGAACGATGACGAGCGATGCAGCGCCACTGGCCTTATTATTCAATCGCTTCGCTCATTCCGCCGGCCCGTATTGTGCCATCGCAGGCGTTTGCCTGCGCGTTCGTGGCCACTTGGGGCCTCTTGGGAGCCGTTTGGGGGCCGTTTGGGCGCCTCTCGGGGTCTTTTTGGGGCCTCTTCGAGGCCTTGTGGAACCCCTCTTGGGGCTTATTGGGGGCTTATTGGGGCCTCCTGGGCGCCTCTTGGGGCCGAGGGCTCGATATGTCCGTTCGAGTTCCCCGTATGGCCCCCTCTTGGGGCCGTCCTGGGGATATCTTGGGCTGTCTTGGAGGCCTCTTGGGCGGTCTTGGGACCCTCTTGGGCCCTCTTGGGGCTGTCTTGGAGGCCTCTTGGGCCGTCGTGGGGCGATATGTGGGGCCTCGTGGGCCGTCTTGGAACGCCGGGAAGCCGAGCATAAGTATGAGAACGGCAAAATCCTTCAAACACTGAAGAGAAATCTATGGCTTTTGCCTTCTGGAGCCCTCTTGAGACGCTCCTTCGAGGCCCCTTTGGGCGCCTTGGGAGCGTCTGCGGCCGTGTGGAGGCTATCTTGGGCGTCTTGGATCGATCGGTCGGCGACTCGGAGCCCTCTTGGGCCGTCTTGGAGACTCTTGGGGCCCTCAAGGAGCGCTCGGGGGCGCCTGAAAGCCGCACCCAGAAGGAAAACCCATCCCTGAGTAGTACCGGCCGGGGTACTTTTCGTCCAGGGACCCCCAAGGGCCACCCCGCGCGCTCGAACTGGATATATATATATATATATATATATATATATATATCGTTTACCAGTAGCCGGAGATTTTAGCACGCCTGGCGTTTGAAAGATGGCGAGCGATGCGGCGCCATTGGCCTTATTATTCTTCACGCTTCGCGTCTCCCCACCAGCCCACCTAGAAGACCTGCCCATGAAAGCTGACCAGGAAAAGTGACGAGGAGACACATGTAGTGAAACAAAGCGGGCAACCAGGGTGAACAGAGAGATCTCTGGGAGCAACGAGGTTGCCTTGGAGGGCCTCTTCGGGCCCGCGTAGGAGGAGGAAGAGGAGGAGGAGGAGGAGGAGGAGGAGGAATATGATGACGACGACCACGACGAAGAAGAGAAAGACAAGGGAAAGGGAGACAATGAGGCCAAGGACGAGGACGAGGACGAGGACGAGGAGGAGGGCAACGAGCCCTCAAATCGCCTCTTGGAGCTTTCTTGGGACTCCTGTTGTGGGTTCTTGGGGTCCTCTGGGGGCTCTTTTGGTGGGTCTTGGGGCCCTCTTGGGGCCCTCTTGGAGCCCTCTTAGGGGCCCTCTTGGGGTCTTCTTGGGGCCACTGGAGGCCATCGATCAAAAGAAGGGGGGGCAATGTGCATTCCCCCAATGGGGCCATCAGAATTGCCTCTTGGGGCGCTCTTAGGGCCCTCTTGGGGCGCTCTTGGGTGCTCTTGGGGCCGTCTGGGGAGCCTCTTGGGCCCATCTTGAGGCCTTACAAGTAAGCGAAACGGCGATAAGGTAAACATCGTTGACGTTCCATAGGTGTTTGAATGATGTGGGTCTCTTGAGGGGTGATGAGAGGGCTCCGAGAGCACTTGGAATTGTCCTGTGGCTCTCGTCGGGCCTCTTGGAGGTATGTCGGAAGGCATCTTGAAACATCGCCGGCTATCCTGAGCCATCTCGGAGGGCATCGTGGAGCATCGGAGGCCCTCTGGGAGCCATCCTGGGCGCCCCGACACGTCGCGGCCCGCCCCGCAGAACCTCAGGGATGGGGGGAGGTAAACCTCCCGGTCTACTCTGTAAGAACGGTTTTTTGGAAGGCAGATCTGCCTTCAAAAAATTAGCCTGGCGAAGGACCCAACCATATGCAGCTGCGAGTGCCGCGCAGGATATGAGATGAGGGAGGGGGGGACGCAAGCTACGAGTAGCGCAAGGCATGCCCCATCTTCTCACAGGCACCGCGCCACTGCATGGACGAGGCACAGGGCAGCGCGGGCAGGAAGTGGCTGGCGGAGGAGGGGGGCTAAGCGGAGCGAGCCACCGCATCAGCATCAGCGCATCTTGAGACCTGTTACGGAACACGCAGGAAAAGTTACGGAGACACCGCGTAGATGTCAGAGGCAAGTGGGGCAGAAACGAAGCGAAGGCAGCAGAACGAGCGACAGACGAGGGGTGACATGTTTGCCTCCGAGCCGATGGCGAGCCACGCAGAGTGCACCGCGCAGGCGGCGCCGCGCGAAAGTGGGCGGGGAGTCCCCGCCGACGCGGTCTGGTCATCCCGAGGGAGTCCCATCGACGCGCGGGGGTCGTCCACTGCGACTCAGAGTTAACGCGTGGCGCCCCCGTACTGCGCGGCGAGGCGATGCGAAAAGGGCACGATCTGGGTGGAATCTCCCCGACAGACGCCGGTCATCCTCTGGCGAGAAATTCCGACGACGAGCTGGGGTCATCCAAGCGTCTGCGACAGCCAGAGCGCCAGCCGCCACGGCGGCCCCTCAGATCAGGCCTTGCGGATGAACTCGCTGGAGCCCAGCTCCCTTTGACAGTTACCTCGCCTTCCCTTGCGCTGGTTCGCGCGCGTCGCGAACCTGGTCGGCGACCATTTCTGGAGCGCCGAAAACGCTCGAGACGGTGTCGCCCTTCGCGCAGGCGCATGTGAGCAGCCGGCCCCCCGGCAGGACTGCGTCGACTCTCCCAGCACCGCGCCCGAACTGGCCCTCTTTCCAAACCAGTTTCAGATCACGCCAAATCGTCTTCAGTGTAGTTTCGGATGAGACTGAGGTCCTCCAGCACTCCTCGCCGCTCACTGTCCGGAATATCATTGCGAGGTCCGCCAGCGTCGCGTGCAGCTGCATCGAGGGCGGCGCCGCAGCAGCGAAGGCGGTGCCCGGACCCAGGGCACAAAATGCGATGTCCTGGTTGTTCGCGGACAATCCACAAACCACAATGTTCCCGTCACTTGTGTTGCATCTGGTATACTTCGCCCCGGCCGCGACATGCGTGTAGGTGACGCCCTCACTCAGAGGTGGGATGTTGCACTGCCCCCAGTCATTGCTGCCGCAAGCTGCTGCAGTCCCATCGCTGCGCAGCAGCACCGAGTGCTTCCACCCGGCTGCGACCTCCGTGAACTTCACGTTATCCTGGAGATCGGGTAGGTCGCACTGGCCCGCGTCGTTCCTGCCCAAAGCGTGGGCAGTGCCGTCGTCACCCAGTAAGACTACGTGATTTGACATGCTGATTTGCACGATGGTCCGATGGACCTCCCACTCGCAGATCTCCTCGCCCTGCGGATGGATGATCTGCAAGATGCCGTCGCTAAGGATCCCGATTGCATCGCCCCAGGCCGCAATTAGGAAGTCCACCACTCCCTCGCTGATATTAGGGGGCTGAGGCGCTCGTCCTCGTATACGAAGATCACGCCGTCGCATCGCAACATCACCGTGAAGTGCGCCCCGGCAGCGATCTGCGTGAAGTGGAGGTAGTCGTCGCGAACGACGCCGAGTAGCTGCACGACAGCCTTTCCAGATATCGCCAGGGTGACGGAGTAGATGTGCACCTCTCCATCGGCGCTGAGTAGTGCGACATGTTGCTTTCCCACAGCAGCCCGTGTGAATGCAGCGCAAGATGGCGGCGGCCTCACCACCTTGGCGGAGTGGTCAACTGCCGAAAACAGGAAGGCTGCCCCGTCATTGATCAGGAACGACATGCGCTTCCAATGCGCGGCAGCGGCCATCCTGGCAGCAAGCTCCGTAGCAACCGCTACGCCCGAGGTGGGGGGCCTACTGGCTGCCTTTGACAGGGTCGAGCCTGAGCGGCTTCGTGAGACCTGTTACTGGGGACGCAGGAAAAATGTCACGGAGAAGCCGCGCGAATGTCAGGGGCAGCTCAGCAGCGGCAGAAACGAGACTGGGGGGCGCGCGGTCAAGAAGCGAAGGGAAGCAGGACAAGCGAGAGACGAGGGGTGACATGTTTGCCTCCAGGACGATAGCGAGCCACGCAGAGTGCACCGCGCAGGCGGCGCCGCGCGGGGGTGGCTGGGGAGCCCCCGCCGACGCGGTCTGGTCATCCCGAAGGAGTCCCATCGACGCGCGGGGGTCGTCCACTGCTTGTCAGAGCAAACAGATGCGCTGCCGTACTGCGCGGTAAAGCGACGCGAAGAGGGCGCGATCTGGCTGAAATCCCCCGACAGACGCCGGTCTTCATCTGGCGAGAAATCCCGACGACGAGCTGGGGTCATCCAAGCGTCAGCGACAGCCAGCGCGCGCCGCTGGCTCGCGCGGGGCCGCCCAGGTCAGGCCTCGCGGATAAACTCGGTGAAGCCCAGCTCCTTGGCGAGGGCCGTCGACTCCCTCCTGCACCGCTTCGTGCGCGTCGCAAACTGCTCCAGCTGCTTCCGCAAGCCCGCTGGCGGCCCTGCCAGGAAGAACTCGATACGCGGCGCCCGCATGAGCAGGAGGTCCCCGTGGCGCGTGGCGCGCGAGAGCAGCGCGTAGAGCTCCAGCCACCAGTCGTCGTCGTCCTTCTTGCCGTTCCCGACCTCGTGGCGGCCGCAGTCCAAGGATCACGCCTGGGCGGCGTCGGCCGGGGGAGCAATGCGCCGGACAGTCGACGGCCCAGGGCGAGAGTCCACAGGACCGAGAGAAGGTCCGGCTGCGGACCGAGGGAAGGTCGCGCCGGCGGGTGTCTTTGACAGAGCGGCAGGTGTCTCTGGCAGGTGTCTCTGGCAGAGCGCCTTTAGGGACGAGCTCTCTTGGGGGCCATTGCAAGGTGAATATAAACTAATAAAGTTAATGGGCCGGCCACAGACAGAGAAATAGAGATCGCGACAGAGACGGCGACGACAAAGCGCGGTTATCTTTGCCAATGCGCGTCCTTGCACGCTGTCTGGGACTTGTCGCGCTGGCGGGTGTCTTTGACAGAGCGGCAGGTGTCTCTGGCAGGTGTCTCTGGCAGAGCGCCTGGGGGCTCGGGGGGAGGGCTGGCCGCAGCTCCGAAGAATATGCTGGGACGCATGCGAACGCAACCACTGGGGCCCCTTCGGTGGAGCTCCCTATGGGGCCACGAAACGTGTGAGGGGTGGGCCGAAATGGGCGAGGGGCGGCATGCCAACTCTGCCACTGGGGCCTTCGGTGGAGCTCATTATGGGGCCACGAAACGTGTCAAGGGTGTGTCGACATGGGTGGCGCGGACGCATGCGAACCCTGCCACTGGGGCCGTCGGTGGAACTCCCAATGGGGCCACGAAACGTGTGAGGGGTGTGCAAAAGTGGGTGGGGGCGGCATGCGAACCCTGCCACGGGGGCCTTCGGTAGAGCACCCTATGGGGCCACGAAATGCGTGAGGGGTGTGCCAAAGTGGGGTGGGGGCGGCATGCGAACCCTGCCACTGGGGCCGTCGGTGGAGCTCCCTGTGGGGCCACGAAACGTGTGAGGGGTGTGCCAAAGTGAGGTGGGGGCGGCATGCGAACCCTGCCACTGGGGCCTTCGGTGGAGCTACCTATGGGGCCACGAAACGCGTGAGGGGTGTGCCAAAGTGGGGTGGGGGCGGCATGCGAACCCTGCCACTGGGGCCTTCGGTGGAGCTCCCTGTGGGGCCACGAAACGTGTGAGGGGTGTGCCAAAGTGAGGTGGGGGCGGCATGCGAACCCTGCCACTGGGGCCTTCGGTGGAGCTACCTATGGGGCCACGAAACGTGTGAGGGGTGTGCCAAAGTGGGGTGGGGGCGGCATGCGAACCCTGCCACTGGGGCCTTCGGTGGAGCTACCTATGGGGCCACGAAACGTGTGAGGGGTGTGCCAAAGTGGGGTGGGGGCGGCATGCGAACCCTGCCACTGGGGCCTTGGTGGAGCTCCATGGGGCCACGAAACGTGTGAGGGGGCCACGGAAACGTGTGAGGGGTGTGGGGAAACTGGGAATGGGTGTGAGGGGTGTGCGGAAATGGCTAATGGCGATGGCGATGATGATGATGATGATGACGATGATGATGCTGGTGGTGATGACGATGATGATGCTGGTGGTGATGATGACAGGATGGTTGGGAACTAATGGCGATGGCGATGATGATGACGATGATGATGCTGGTGGTGATGATGACGATGATGATGAGGATGAGGATGATGATGATGATGATGATGATGATGATGATGATGATGATGATGACGATGAGTATGATGACGGCGATGGGAGGAGGGAGGAGGGGGGAGAGGAGGAGGAGGAGAGGAGAGGAGAGGAGAGGAGACGCGGGGCGCTGTCTCTTCAAAACGAGGACCCAACACCACAGGATGGTTGGGAATAGCTCTAGTCTACTCTGTAAGAACGGTTTTTTGAAGGCAGATCTGCCTTCAAAAAATGTTTTGGAAGGGGAAAGGAAAGAACTCTAGTCTGTAGCCGTCTGGTTCAAGTTTTGGTCAAGCGTTGTCTGGACCGTGTGGATTGGTTTGGTGGCCCAGACCGCATACACCTTGAACTTATCCAAGTGTATTGACGCGTAACGCGCCCATCTAACTCATGAAGACATGCACCTCACTTGGCGTTGTTTTCTTGGCAATCTCAGCAGTGCCCTTCTATTTTGAGTGGATGCCCCCAGAGGTGAGCAGCGTCAAGGGTAAGTGCGCCTTGGTCACTGGTGTGTCCGGGGGGTTGGGGGTGACTATCGCCTCACAGCTTGCATCAGAGGGTGTTTCCAAGCTGATCATTACCGCGCGCTCGACTGAAAAACTCCAACGAGTCTCGGACAATCTCACAAAGCATTTCCCAGACACCGAAATCATCTCTGTTACGTCCGACGTCTCCAAGGATGAAGACAACGCCGCTCTCGTGGAGGTGGCCTTGAAGAGGTTTGGGCACTCGTGTCCGATTCTGCTAGTGAACAATGCTGGAGTCGGCGGAGCGTTCGATTTTGAGAAGATGACGAAGCACGAGATCGACAACATATTGAATATTGACTTACGCGGGCTGATCCACCTGTCTCACGATTTCCTCCCAGCGATGATCAAATCTGGAGGACACATTGTCAACATAGGCTCCATGGCCAGCCATTCGCCCTTTCCCCGGTTGACGGCGTACAATGCGGCGAAGCACGGCATGCTCGGTTTCTCCGCGGGCCTCCGGTTGGAGATGCGGGTCAAAGGCCACCCAGTCACCGTGCATGCAGTGTCGCCGGGATTCGTTTTAGAAGCTGGAATGGCTGTTGACCAGGCTGCCGCCGCGGGAACTTCGTTGGATGTGTTAACGTCGATTGCGGGCTACTCCTACCCCGCCGACACTGCCGCCGCAGTGATCAACGCGGTCAAGTACGACATCCCGGAGACACTCGTCAATTTCCCGCCGCCCCGAGTTATTCTTATCGCCAGTGCAATCTTCTCGCGGACATTTGATTGGTTGTTCAGCGTTATTCCGCCTGACAGGCTTCTGATTCCTCTCGCTTCGCGGGATGCACGTCCGGAGCACGTACAGTCCAGTCGTTGCGGGGCCTCTTGGGAGCTTCCTTCTGGCCTCTTGGAGGTGTCTTGGAAGCTTCTTGGGGCCTCTTCTACACTGGGCTTCTTTGAGGCCTCTTGGGGCCGTCTTGGGCCGTCTTGGGGCGCTCTTGCAGCGTGTGGCCCATTTGGAGGCCGGTCTCTCGAGGCTGGTCTGGGGCCTCTCGCGGCCGTAATTGCCGCTGTGAAAAAAGTGCTCAAATGTGGAAGGTGTGGGCCACGGTGTGGGCGTTGGTTGGCGTGACCTGCTCGGCTGCCGCGCGTGCGTGCCGCCCCGTCCTGCAATCCCCGGGCCTTCTGGGCGGTCTCATGGGGGGCTCTTGGGAGCCTCTTGAAAACCTCGTGGGGGCTTCTTGGAGCGTCTTTGGGGCCGCTTTGGGGCCTCTTGGGGCTTCTTGTTGACGTCCTGCGCCGGCTTGGGGCGTTCTTGCGCCGTCTGGCCCCTTCAGAGGCCATATTGGAGGCCTCTCGCGGCCGCCTTAGGGCTCTCTTGGAGTCCTCTTGGGCCGTCTTAGGGGCCCCTTGGACCGTCTTGGGGGCCTCTTTGGCCGTCTCGAGGCCCTCTTGAGCAATCCTGGGGCCCCATTGGGGGTCTCGTTGGCCGTCTTGAGGGCTTTTTGGAGGCTGCTTGGGCCGTCATGGTCCTCTGAAAGCCGAAAAAGGCGAGAACGCTTAAATCTGCCAAAAACCAACGGGGAATCAATGATTTTGGCTCCTGGAGGCGCTCTTTCGAATCCTCTTGGGGCCCCCTTGAGCCGTCTTGGGGGCCTCACTGGCCTTCTTGGGACCATCCAGGGCCATCTTGGGCCGTCTTAGGGGCCATCTTAGGCCTTTTTGGAGCCCCAAGAGGCCGAACTTGCGGATTGTTCATAGGATGTTGTAGGCTTGGAGCCCCAGAATGAGGGCCTCCAGATTTGGTACGGCGGAGCGGCGCGACTCCAAGGGGGGGTCAGGGGGGGGGAGACATAGTAGTGTAAAACAATACAAAATGTGGCAATTCTACAACGATTGGATACATTGGATACGTTGCATTACCGCCTCCACAGAAAACGCCGCCGTTCAGCACGTCACTTCCGGACGTGGATTCCTCTCGCTTCGCGGGGTGCACGTCCGGACCGCGGAGAGTGCGGGCGTTTGGGGCGCCCTTGAAGTTGTTGGACGTTTCTGGTGGGCGTCGACTTCTGGAGGGTCTTTTTGGTCGCTCATTGGGAGGGTTCCTGGCCGTCTTCGTGCGCTCCTAGGTCGTCGGGCCCCTTCTTGGTCTCTCCGTGGTCTCTCCGTGGTCCCTTCTGGTGTCTCTCCGTGGTCCCTTCTTGGTCTCTCCGTGGTCCCTTCGTGGTCCCTCCGTGGTTTCTTCTTGGTCTCTCCGCGGTTTCTTCGTGGCCCCTCTGTAGTCCCTCTTTGGTCCTGCCGTGGTCTCTTCGTCGTCTCTCCGCGATTTCTTCGTGGCCCCGCCGTGGTCCCCTCTTGGCCCCGTCGTGGTCCCTTCTTGTTCCCTCCGTGGTCCCTTCCGGAAACGACCCACTGCATTGACACTGGACCACCAGTCCAGTCCACCGGTCCACCAGTCGTTCGCCCTCCGGTCCGCCCGTCCGCGGGTCCACAGTCATCGTCACAATCGCCCTCGTGATCGCCATGATCTCCAGCACCATCAACATCAATACCACGTTATCGGCATCACCACCACCAGCATCACCATCACCATCACCACCACCATATTCATCACAAGCACAATATGTGTTATTAGCATCATCATCACCATCATCATCATCATCGTCGTCATCCTCATCCTCATCATCAGCATCAGCATCATCAGCATCATCATCACCACGTGCATGGGGCGGGAGCACGAGGTTCATCTCATGAAGACCGCCCCAATGAGTTCCATGGCAAGCAACATCGGGAGGAAGACTATCCACAGCTTCAGCAAGCTCGGGATCGATCTTATCACGGGGGTCCACTCTGGCGGGAAGAAGGACCAGGAACTGTCGGAGAACTTGTTGCACACGAAAATCCAGCACATGCGTTGGCTTATCATCGACGAGGTGGAGAACGTGTCCGTGGAGCTGCTGGACGCCGTGCACAGGCAGGTGAAGGACTCGACGAGGGACAAGGGGAACCCGTGGGCCGTGGACGCACGCGCCCCGAAACAGTTCGCCATGCTCGGCGATCTGAACCTGGTACTTCTCGGAGATCTGTGGCAGATCCCGCCCGTGAGGATTCAGTATTGCTGCCAATCCTTTCATGAAGCGGTCCGCCAACGTCGGCCGCATACTCAAGATGTTTTGGACAGAGGGCTTGCCGCGCTCGGCGACTCACCGCTACGCCCTGGCCCAGTCGCACCGCTGCTCAGACCCGTGGCGGAGGAGCTTCCTCGCAGAAGCGCGCGCGGGGAGTCTGTCGGACAGAATGTACGATTTCGTCCACGGTTTCCCCGCTGATTTGCCCGGCTCCTGGATTCCCTTAAGCCCCGGCCGGCAGCGCCGAGGCCTCGACGGGGCACCTCGGCTGCGGGAAAGCGAAGTGCCGCGCGCTCTGGTCAGCTCAGTGGCCGCGGATGTTCGGAGAGGGTCGGCAGGACATGCGAGCTCTTGAGTGCGCTGACTGCAGCGCGGAACGCCGTCGGCGCCGCCGCGTCGCCTCTCAGAGCGATGCCAGACAGCGGGAGGTGAGCACGGCGTTCGCCGACGCGCTTTTTTGCGCCCGCACAACGCCCCGAAGAGCAGAACTTTGACTCTGCGAGCGGCGAATGCGGCAGCAAATGCTGGGAAGCAGCTCCTCTGGGTGGTGGCGCGCGACGCCCCCCTCATTCGGGGCGACGCATGCAGGTCGAAGGAGTCCCTTGCCAACGCCAGGCAGAACTGGCTGATGTACCCGGAAAACAAGACTGGCGGAGTTCTGGGCGTGCTTCCGATCTTCGAAGGGATGCGCGCGCGCTTTGCGACCACGGAGAATGCGGAGGCGGGGGCCTGCAAGCATTCCTGGGCGACAGTGACAGGCTGGGTTCTCCACCCGGACGATTCGAAGCTGGTGAAAGAGCAGAGGGCCGAGCCGGAGCTGGTCCTGCAGCACGCGCCCGATGCGATCATGGTGAGAATTCCAGGAAGCACGGTCCCCTGCTTCGGCAATCAGCCTGCTGGCGTCTTCCCGGTGAAGCTGAAGGAAGTGTCCTGGGATCGCAGTCCCGGCTTCAAGGCCATGGTGAAGCGCGCGGGTTTCCCGCTCGTCCCGCACTTCGCCGCCGCGGCCCACTCCGTCACCGGCTCCACTCTTCCGCAGGCCATCATCGACCTCCTGGACGCGCGGACGACGTCCCGTTCGTCCATGGTCCCCGCTGGCTACGTGGCCATCAGCCGTACCAGGAGGGCGGACGACTTGATCATCACCCAGCCTTTTTCCCCCATGCTGTTCCGCCAGGGGCATCAGACGGGCCCGCGGCTCCTGCACTCCCTTACAGCTGGGGAGATGACGACGGAACAGGCGAAAGCTGGTTGGGCCAAGGCAGAGAGGGAAGCCGCGTCCAGGTCGTTGAAGAAGTTGGTGGACGCCACGTTCCAGTGCGCCGACTGCCACCAGCGAAAAAAACCGGGCAATTTCCCAGATTGTGGCATGAGAACGAGCGACCCCCTGGAGCACGCCGTGGCGGTGCTGAGCCAGGGGGCCTGGAGGAGGTGCGCCCTCTGCGTTCAGAAGCGGACCTCTGCTTCGGGCGCACCTGCCGCGGCTGCAGCGCCGTCCGCCACGAAAGGCAGAGACGTGCTCGTCTGCAATCGCTGCAAGGAGCCCAAACAATTGACGAATTTCCGACGCAGCGAGGTGAATGACCTGAAAGGCAGAGGGGCGCTGGACCTCGCCGTTTGCGCGGCGCGCACCCCGGAGAGGCAGCATTTCAACGTGTTGTCGGCGGCCCGCCTGTTGAAGTGTCGCATCTGCAAGCGGGGCGTGCCCGCGGAGCAGTTCGATGCAGCTTTTTTAAAGATGCACAAGAGCGTCAAAGACGCCGCGTGCAAAAAGTGTCTGGACGAAAAATGGAAGCCCCTCTGCAAGGGAGGCTGCGGAGCAAGGCCTCCAGAACGCGTGGGGTACAGCACCAGTTTCTGGTGCGAGTCGTGCAAATTTCCGCCGTGCGTGAGATGTGGCTCGGCTCCACGGCCGAAGACGGCCAAGTACAGAGTCTGGAACATGAGAGAGTGGACCTGCGCTCAGTGCTGGGATCCGCCCAGGGATTTGAAACGCGCGCGGTGCTCGGCAGTGTTTAAGCGAGAAGCCGCGCACAGTTCCCAGCGTGACAAAGCAGACGTGTTCTGTCCCGCTTGCTGGCGGGCAGAGTAGGCGCCGCGCAGCCAATCCGGACTGGTAACCGCCGCTGTGGAGAATTATTCCAAAATGTAGAAGATGTGGGCGTTAGATGGCGTGACATGCTCGGCCGCGCGCGTGCGTGCCGCTCCGTCCTGCCATCCCCAGGGCTTCTGGGCGGACTCCTGGGGGACGCTTGGGAGCCTCTTGGAAACCTCTCGGGGGCCTCTTGGGCCGTGTTTGGGGCCGCCTCGGGGCCCTCTCAGGGCTGCTTCTTGACGTCTTGCGCCGTCCTGGGGCGCTCTTGCGCCGTGTGGGCCCTTCGGAGGCCATCTTGGAGGCCTCTCGTGGCCGCCGTGGGGCTCTCTTGGAGGCTTCTTAGGCCGTCTTGGGGGCCCGTTGGACTGTGTTGGGGGCCTCTTTTGGCCGTCTCGGGGCGCTCTTGGGCCGTCTTGGGACCACCGTGGGTGCCTATTTGGCCGTCTTGGAGTCTTCTTGGGGGCTGCGTGGGCCGTCATGGTCTCCTGAGAGCCGAAAAAAGCGAGAACGCTGAAATCCTTGAGAAACCTTAAGAAATCAGCAATTTTTGGCCTCTGGAGGCGCTCTTTGGGGTCCTCTTGGGGCCCTCTTGGGCCGTCTTTGGGGCCTCATGGGCCCCCTTGGGACCATCTTGGGCCGTCCTGGAGCCGGCTTGGGCCGTCTTGGGCCGCCTTGCGGCCATTTTGAGACCCTCTGAGAGTCCCAAGAAGCCCAAGAGGCCGAATTTGTTGATTTTCAATAGGTTTTTTGTAGGTTTGGGGCCCCAGAATGAGTGCCTCCAGATTGGGGTCGACGGTGTGGCGCGGCTCCAGGAGGGGGGTTAGGGGGGAGACATAATAATGTAACACAATACAATATGTTGCAATTATGCAATATTTTGATACATTTGATACGTTGCGTCAAGGCGTTCGCCGAAAAACGCTGCCGCTCAGCACGTCACCTCCGGACGTGGACACCGCCGACCCTTTGGGGTGCTTTGTTCGGGTGCGTCGTTTTTTTTTGCGGGGCGGGCCCTGGGCAGTCCACATGCAGATGCAGGTTTTGTGGTGTACGTGTGCGTTTCCGGGTAGGGGTGGGGTGAAGGGGGGTGTCAAAGTGTCATGTGTTAGTGCTCCGTGCGCGTTGTTCCATTGAGTGGCGCAGTATGGGTTGCTAGCGGGTCGCCCACCAACGTGCGCAATTAATCAACCCGACTGGGCTCTGGGGGTCTCGCGGCACGCCTCTCCAGGGCCTCTGGAAGGCTGTTTTGAAGCCACTTATGCACCGGGATGGAAAAGAAGGGTGAGGAGAAGGAGAGGGACACGGAAGGAATGCTCTTGGTCATGGGTTATGGGTTAGAGGATTCTTGGATGTGTATTGGGATCTCGCGGCACGCCTCTCGGAGGCCTGTCGAATACGGTTTTGAAACCACTTGGGGGCCGTTCCGGAGCCTCTGAGGGGTTTCTTGGGGGTTCCTTGGGGCGTCTTGGGGGCCTCTTGGGGGCCTCTTGCGGCCTCTTGGGGCGCTCTTGGGGCCCCCTGGTGGTCCTGGGGGCGGAAAGCTACATGTTTTGAATTTTTGGTGGCCCTCTTGGGCCCCTCTTGGTGCCGTCTTGGAGCCCTCTTGGGCCGTCTTGGGGACCTCCTGGGCCGTCTTGGGGCCGTTTCGGAGCCTCTGGGGGGTTTCTTGGGGGTTCCTTGGGGCGTCCTGGGGGCCTCTTGGAAGCCTCTGGCGGCCTCTTGGGGCACTCTTGGGGTCCCCTGGGGCTCCTGAGGGCGGAAAGCTAGATGTTTTGAATTTGTTGTGGCCCTCTTGGGCCCCTCTTGGTGCCGTCTTGGGGCCCTCTTGGGCCGTCTTGGGGGCCTCTTGGGCCGTCTTGGGGCCATCTTGGGCCGTTTTGGGGCCGTCTTGTAGGCCTCTTGGGCCGTCTTGGGGCTGTCTTCGGGGCCTCTTGGGCCGTCTTGGAGCGTCGGGAAGCCGAAAAGGCGAAAAGACAAAAAACACAGAAAAACATAATGGAAAATCAACAATTTTAGCCTCTCGGGGCCCTCTTGGGAGGTTTGTTTGGGACCTCTTGGGCCGTCTTCGAGGCCTCTTGGCCCGTCTTGGGGTCATCTTGGGCGTCTTGGAGCGCTGGTTTGGCGTCTCGGGGCCCTCGTGGGCCGTCTTGGAGGCCTCTTGGGGCCTTCTTGGCCCATCTTTAGGCCTTCTTGGGCCCAGAAGAGCCCGTGAGTCGCTCGTCGGGGGCACCCCCCTCCTCCAAATCGACCAGACTGGGCTCCCGGGGGAGGGGTTTGGGGAGGGGGGAGCATCTCACACGCCGATGATCCCCAAGGGGTCGGCGGATATTTTGATATCACAAGTTCATCAGATGAAGGCTTCGAAGAAAAAGGGAAGAAAGGGCTGGCGAGACCATCTTAGCCCAAAAGGCTAGTGGGATCATACGCTATCCGCCCCCCCACCTTGGGGATCGCGTGCACCGAAGAAGCCCGCCCTGGCAGGGAGACAGTGTGCACGGAAGGAACCCTCGCGGGGGGATCGCCTCGCAGGGGCAGCGTTAAGTCGGGCCTGTTCTTCTTCAGAAGGGATATTCAAACATAGTATAACAATAGTCTGGGGACGATTTGTTCTACTACTTTTTCTGGCCATGTTTGAGCATGGTTTGGCATTGTTTTGTTTCTCCTCAATCCGCCCGTGGGAGGACATGCCCAACCTAAGGGTAGCGTGCTCTTCGGGGATCGATGTCGAACGCTATCCTTCTTAGCCCACAGGGCTGGTGAGATTACCCTGACTCCGGATCCGCCCTACTTTGGTTTTTTTTCAGCTTAAAATTGCGTCGGACATCCATGTATATGAGGCCGAAAAAGTAGGGCGGAAATTCCTGCACCCAGCATAAAGTGGGGCGGAAATCCACAGAAGTAGGGCAGAATCAGCAGCAGAAAAGTAGGGCGGACGTTGGCAGCAGCGGGGCTTGAAAAGGAAGGCGGAAATTCCAAGCCCTACCTACGGATTTCCCCAAAGTAGGGCGGACCCGGAGTCAGGGTACTCGCTGTATCCCCCGCCCCCACCTCGGGGATTGCGTGCACCGAAGCAGCCCCGGCAGGGAGACAGCGTGCACGGAAGGAACCCTCGCGGGGGGGGACTGTCTCGCAGGGGCAGCGTGAAGTCGGGCCTGTCCTCCTACAGGGGGAATATTCAAAAATAGTAAGAACATAGTCTGGGGACGATTGTTTCTACTATTCGTTGACCTGTTTCGAGCACTGTCTGGTTTTTTCCTTTATTTTTCCGGCAGAATCCGCCTGTAGGAGGACATGCCCAACCAAAAGGGTAGCGTGCTGTTCGGGGACCGATGTTGAATGCTATCCTTCCCGCGCCAGCCGCAGCCCTTCTAGGGAGGGACCCGCCGCCGCGGCGGAGGAGGGTCGCGGAAGAGCAGGGGGAGGAGCAGGGGGAGGAGCAGGAGGAGGAGGAGGAGGAGGAGGAGGAGGAGGAGGAGGAGGAGTCGAGGCAGCAGGAGGAGGAGGAGGAGGAGGAGGAGGAGGGTCGAGGCAGCAGGAGGAGGAGGAGGAGGAGGAGGAGGAGGAGGAGGAGCAGGAGAGGAGTCGAGGCAGCAGGAGGAGGAGGAGGAGGAGGAGGAGGAGGAGGAGGAGGAGGAGGAGGAGGGACCCTCAGGGATGCCGCCGCCGCGCCAGGAGCACATCGAGGAGATGCGCCAGGCGGCGAGCCACAGGCGCAACTCGAACACCGCCTCCGAGAGGCCCGCCGCGCCGCCGCGCCTGTCGCCGTGGGGGGGGGGGCGGAGCAGAGCCACGCGAGGGCGAGGGAGGAGAGGGACGAGCGAGAAGGAGGAGGAGGAGGAGGAGGAAGAGGAGGAGGGAACGAACAATGGCATAAACGCAACGACTCTGAGGTCCGTGCGGATTTCTCGGATCGGCGCTGGAGCCCCCTGGCGGCGCCTCCGGCGCCGCCACTGTTCTGGCGCCGGTCCGAGACGTCCGCGCGGACCTCCGAATTCTTCTGTTCATGTCACTGCTCGTTCCCCTAGGAGCAGGCGGGAGCCAACGCCGCAAGCAGAGGGTGGCGGCAGGTGTGTCCAGGCGTGTAGATGGGAGCGCCCAGACCAACAAGGACCCAGCTCGTGGCGTGGTGAAGCGGGCGCTCGCCTCTTGAAAAGGGCACGCCGCCCGGGGCCGAAGAGACCCGCCCGCCGCCTCCGCCACCCGCGCCCTCGCCCTCCAGGCTTGGCATCGCTCGGACGTGTGCATTTCTTCTTCTCCGCGAGAACCATCGAGGACCATCCTGGGCCATCGAGCCAACAGAGAAACACGCACGAAACCGAACAGTGCACAGGAAGCGGACGTCCGAGCGGCGGCAAGCAGGCCCTCTGCGCCCGCCTCCCCCCTCCTCCCACGGCCTCGCCCGCCTCGGCCCTCGCAGGCGGCTCCACGCCTCTCGAGCCTCCGGGCCCCCCCGGGCCGTCCTCCTCCTCTGGCGTCGAGTCGGGCCTGTCCCTCTACAGGAGGAATATTTTCAGAAATGTCAACAAGAATAGTCGGGGACGATGTTTTGAATTTTTTCCCATGTCTGAGCATGTTGGGGGTATTTTTTCTTATTTGTCATCCAAGCTCCGCCTGTGGTGGGACATGCCCGACCTACGACTGGCGTTCTCGACATGGGGGCCGTCTCTGGACGGCCCCAGGGTCCTTGAGATGTGGTCCAGAGGTCCTGGGGGGGCGGGGGGCAATGTCGCAAGAAAAGCTCGGCGTCGAGTGTTTGGGAGAGATGGGGGGGAGCAGGATTCGCCGAGCTGGAGATTTGCGCGTGTGCCCTTTGGTTCTGGGGTCCTGGGAGGCTTCTTCCCGCAAGAGGCTTTTCAGAACGCGCTCCAGGACACGGCGGAGTTGACGGGGGCGGAGGAAACGGGGAAGAGTGAGGGGGAGGGGGACGAAGAGGGGGAAGTGGTACCCTCCGCACTCGTGCTCCTCATCCCTCCTCGTGTCCGTCCCAACACACGTTTCTCCCGTCTAGTCGACATCCCTTCGCATTCGCCGGCATCATGTGAGGTGTACCAGTGCGTTCGACGTGTCATGAATACAAGAGGAGGTGGAGGGCGGTAAGGGGATCGTTGAGGAGGAAGCAAAGTTGACTCACGCACCAACTATGGGAAATGCTACACGCAGCAAGATCGATTCCCAGTGAGATGAGCCAGCATCTGACGTTCTGAAGCCTGAGGCCGCATCGCAGACTGCACTGTTAGCGCAGCCTGGATGGACATGTGCAGTCGGAAAAGGCACTTCCGTCGTCCTCTTCTTCAGGATCGCCCTTTCGTATCGGCGGGGCAGCTGTAATTTGCGCTCGCTGAACTCCTGTCGGCGTGCAGTACACGTGTCACTCGATGCGAATTCGTGTGCCTTTGCGTGCGCTTGTGCTCGTGCACGCGCGGGAGCCTCCCTCGTACACCTGGGCCCCCCACGGGTCCACGTCCAGACCTGCTCCACTGGAGGCTTTCGTTGTCCGAGCGCGCGTCCATGGCGGAAGGGGTGATGAGGAAGGGGGGTTAGGATTGGGAGGGGGGTAGCTCCGTAGACGCGCTGACGGCGATGCAGGCAACGGCGATGAACGGCGATGTAGGTTCCAGCACTGTGGGAACGCGCGGCTCGTGCGTTCCTACAACTCGCTGTGTCGTTCTCGTTCGGTACATGCGCAGATCGGAAATGTAGGAAAATGTGGTTCGTGATCTCCTACAGTTCGGTTTCCAACAGCGCCGTGAAGAAACATCGCCGTCAGCGTGGCCTTGGTGGCTGCATATCTGCCTCAGCGTGTCGTGTGGTCTGTGTTTGTGTTTGTGTGTTTTTCCTCTGTTCACCTATGCCGAGCCTTCTTCACGACTCACTGGAAGCTGTTGGTTCCATGCCATTGTACACCTTGTGCGGTGTTTGTTGTTTGTGTGGTCCTCCTGTGCACATGTCGCTTCCTCCAGCACTATGCGGGGAATGTGACCGTGGCCGCTCTGGGGCTTCATTTGCGTGTGCTGAGGGTGCTCGCTGGAGTGCCTGCTGACCCGCAGGAGAGCTAGCGTCGGCGTCGACCAAGCCGCCGTCGATGCGATGAAGCAGACGTACGATGAACAGCCAGTGTCTTAGACGCCCCTGGCCTTTCACAAAGCAGGGGGAGAGGGTGTAGTGGAGATTGGCGACCTCCACGGTCAATCAGAACATCGCACGGGTTAAGTCAGGAGCAGCATGTATTGTTGGTGCATGTTCAGCCAGAGCATTGATTGGGCTTGCAACCTTGGTAGACGTATTTTGCCATACGGAGGGCGGGGATGAAGGGCGAGAGTCAACACATAGGGGTGAGGGGTGGGAGGAAGGAAGGAACATACGTATGAGTTGCTCATGGTTTATCCACGGTCGCCTCTCGCAACGCACACTCTCACGAGCACGCACTTCTGTCCATGCGGGCACGCACTCACACGCACATGCGCTTCTGCGTGCGCGTTTAGGCATGCTGCAGGTTTCGCAAGCAGTGGGTGCACGTTGGTGCTGTTAGGTGGCTTACTTCACGGGACTGGGTGCTCATTCTGGGTCTTCGGCCGGTGCCCGCCAGTGGGGGGCGCCCGTGGGCGCCTCGTGGGCGCTCCTCGCTGGAGCGGCGTGCCGCGGTCGCGCCCGGTTTCCGCCCGTGGCTTGCTCCCGAGCGCCTTCGCGCCGGGGTGCTTGCCGTGGTCTCGCCCGGCGCCCGCCCCCATGGGCGCGGTGGGCGCCTCATTGGGCGCCCACCGCGCCGGGGTGGCAGGCCGAGGCGTCGCCCGCTGCCCGGGCCGTGGGCGCCTCGTGGGCTGCCCGACAGAGACTGTTCTGCGTAGACGGCACGGCTCACGCCGCACAGCCTGCGCCCCACGGCCTGCGCTGCACAGCTCGCACCGCATGGCCTGCACCGTGCAGGCTGCACCCCGCATGTTGCACAGCACGGCGTGCGCCACCCAGCCTGTAGCTTGCACCACAGAGCCTGCACCGCGCATGCTGCTCCACGGCTTGGCAACGCATAGGTCGCATCACATAGCTGGAGCCACATGGATCACACCAGCAGCCTGCACCACCTATAGTGCACTGCACGGCTTGCACCACATAGCTTGCAGCACCTAGCTTGCACCACATACCTTGCACCACGCATATTGCACCACGTAGGGTGCACGACGCAACTTGCACCACATAGCTTGTGCACCCTAGCTTACACCACACCACCTGCCCTGCGCACCACACACCTGTGCCGTTCCCCCATGCCTCCCCTTCCCCCCCTCTTCCCCATCCTCGTTCCTGGGAGAGGGAGGGGGTGAGGGAGGTGGTGGTGGTGGTGTAGATGTTTGGCCCCCGCAGCATCGGTGGTCAACAAGTGGGACCCCGAGGCTGGTCCTTCACTGTTTGAGAGGCCACCCGTCCTCCGGGTGCCCCGTCCCTCAGGGATTCCATCTTGGAGCCGCCGAGGACGGGCGGTGGGCGGGGGAGATGGCTGAGCTGGAGGAAGATCAGGGGCAGGGCTGGACCTAAACGGTGTTTTGCATTTTCGTGGGCCGTTTTCGGTTCGACTTCGTTTTGCGGTAAAGGCGGATTGAAGACAAAACGAGGGAAAACGAATACAAAACGAAAACGAACAACACCGTTTAGGTTCAGCCCTGATCAGGGGGTGGCCAAGATTCATCCAGAACAAAAGAGCCCTCGAATCCTGATGACACGACGAAAACATGACCACATTGAGGTTCCGTGTTTGCACCAGGGATCATACATGTGGTCGGTCTGGTTCGATACATCTGCAGGACAGACCCCCTGTCCCTAATTTTGGTTGGCCCTCCTAAGTCAGGTCTCCCCTCGAAGGGTCAGGTTTCTGGGGCTCCCCAAAGATGATGGTGCTGCCCATCTTTGTCTGTCTCCCCCCGTGTGCACAGCCGCCGCTCTCGCGGGCGGGCACTCCCTCGACCAAGGCTCGCGGGGCTGCGGTCCGAGCTCCAGGAGCCCCCCCCCCCCCCTTCCTCGCTGCAGCTCCTCGCCGCGCCTCGATTGGGCCACTTCCCCCCCTCGATCCCCCTCCCGCGCCCACGCGCGTGGGTGTGGGCCGAGGAGTGGGGTGCCAGCGGCCCGGCCGTCCCCGGCCCAGCCCGTTGGCCCTGGAGGCTTCTGCGGTGTTCCGAGCTTGCTGTCGGCGGCGAGGGGGGACGTGGGGACGTGAGAAGGAGAAGAAGGCCTGCTCAGAAGGCGGCGGAACTTCTCCGAGCCCCTATCGTGCCTTTTTGGGGAGGTTTTCGCAGAAAGCTCGTCAGCAGGCGAGAGGCCTTCAAGCCTTCTGAGAAGCCCGCCCCGCCGCCGACAGGAGGAGGAGGAGGAGGAGGAGGAGGCGGCCGACTTGTTCTTACTCCTCCTCCTTCTCCTCCTCCTCCTCCTCCTGCTGCTGCTGTTCCTCCTCCTCCTCCGCCTCCTCCTCCTCCTCCTCCTCCATTCCTTTTCCTTTTCAACTAATGTCTCCCTGTCGCGCCCCGAGGCCAGTTTTTAGGGCGGGCCAGGCGGTTCGCCTGAGACTTTTTTACCAGTTATGGGTTCCAGGGCCGAATCGCCCCCCTGCGAACCTCTTTTTGAAGGTCGCGGGGCTCCGCACCACGGTGCACGTGTGAGTTTGGGGGGTTGCGGTACGTTTGTTTAGGGGGACGCCTCTGTGCCATTTTAAAGCGATTCCCCCTCCTCCTCCTCCTCCTCCTCCTCCTCCTCCTCCTCCTCTTCCGTCTCCTCCTCCTCCTCCTCCTCCTCCTCCTCCTCCTCCTCCCCATCCCAATCAGAATCTCCTTACGGAGTCGAATCAAGCAAAACCTTGTTGGGAACAAGAACAAAAAACAACACACAACAATACAACCAATCCATCAATTCAGTGTCCCTCGTGGTGCTAGTCGCTTCAGTTCAGCTTAGGCCATCGATGGCATTGACCTATATAGTTGATGCTCGCGTAGCATGGCTTGTCGTGTCCAGTCAACGCTCAGCTCAGCGTGAAGCTTGAAAGTGGCTGCTCTTAGCTTTTGGTGATCGCCCAACACGTAGTCTCAGCACCAAATCTAGCTGCAGTCTGGCTGTAGAGTCCGCGTGCGGTTCGGGCTTTATTAGCTGAAGACCAATCAGTGTCCACCAGTGGCAGACGGGAGTGGGGTCTCTTGGCATTTTCTTACTAATCTGCTGCTCAGCTTCCTTCATAGCGTTGCAGTGGTGCCGGCGCGGGTACTCCTGCCATCTTTGGCGTCACGTTGCCATGATTGCCGCTCCGGCCATGCCGGGGACCATCTGATGGGTCGACCATAGCACAGCTCGCTCACACGTGCAACCCCTTGCGAAAAGCAACTGGCGTTTGGTGAGCCCCCCGGCCCCCCATCTCAACGTGGATCGCGCGACCGGCGAAGCTCGAGCAGAAAGATCGGCACCGCGTCGAACATTGAAATTGGGGGGTGTGGGGGGGGGGAATGTGTGCAGAAGAGCACCAGTCGCTCTCTGCACGGGGGGCCAGGAGCGACCCCTCGCTGGAAGGACCCTTGGTGCCCGCCCGCCGGGGGGCCCCCGAGCTCGCCGCGGCCCCCGCCGAGAGTGCGCTGCGAGCGCAGCGGACTGCGCGCCTGAATTCTGGGCCGCCGTGGCTGCCCCCCAGAAGCCGCGCACCAGAGGCCACTTGAATTGCCCAGATGCACTCCTGCGGGTCGCCGAGCACCGATTCGAGTTCCGAGGACCATACCTCTGCCCTCCTCTCGCGTTCCCCTTTTTTGGGCCTCCGTCGTCGCCGCCGCTGGATTCGCCTCGAAGTCCTGGCCAGAACGCACCCCAGGAGAGGTCCGGGGAGTAGTGGTATCGGTACCTTTTTTGGTGTCCCCATTAAGGGTGGGGCTGTAACTGCCCCAGCGTATGAGGCGCTCCCGGGGCCCCCCCTCGCCTTCCCGGAGATCGAAGGAGATCGAAGGAGGATGGCGGAAGGGCGGCGGAAGTTGGCGGAAACAGAAGGATGGCGGCACCGCTCGGCGGCGAGCGAGGGGGGGAAGTGAGAGGGGGCGGGCGGGCCTTCTCAGAAGGCTCGGCAGCCCTGCGGTCGTCTGAGAGGTGTTCCAAGCCTTCCCCGAAGACGCAGACAACTGCTCAGAGGTCCCGCAGGCTTCTGAGAAGCTCCGCCGCCTTCTGAGAGGGCCTCCTCCTTCTTATCACTTCCCTCCCTCGCTCGCCGCCGAAGATTGCTACATGCTTGAGTTCAGGGTCTCTGGGACCAGCCGCATGGGCCCATTCAGATTTTTTTTCTGTTCGCTGGTCCGTGTAAGGTTTTACCTTCCGGAGCGGTTGCTGTCTTGCGACTTGCGAGCGCGTGGTGGGGTGTTATTGCCAAGGGCCAGCACGTCCAGCACGACTGGCGTTAAGTCGCTCACCCGCCCACCAAGCCACCCCAACCCAGCCCGAAGGCCTCGACGTGCCCTCCATTTCCAGCGTGGGGTGGGGGGGGGGTCGGGGAACCTTGGAAGAACACAGGTGGAACCCGCACCACGGGGCGAGATATTTGCTGCAGTGCCGTCCCTCCTCCTCCTCCTCTTCCTCCTCCTCCTCCTCCTCCTCCTCCTCCTCCTCCTCCTCCTCCTCCTCCTCCTCCTCCTCCTCCTCCTCCTCCTCCTCCTCCTCCTCCTCCTATGTGGAGGATCGGTGCTGCGATGACCGTGCAGGGCGTCGAGTGCGGCAGGTGGCACGTGTGCAGCGCAGCTGCAGGGGGCGCCCCGTGCCGCCCAGGGGAGCCACGGCGAGCACGAACACGACGGCGTCACAAGGGCCAGCGGGCACGCCGTGTTAACATGGGCCAGCGGCTCGGCAGAAAGCCTATCGGAGTTGTGTGTTCGGTGCGTTCTGTGTACCCATCGGTCGTTGGAAGTAGGCATGTTTGGAGTCCCAGATTCCCATCTACCTCAAGTAAGGGCCTGCCTATTTCAATGAGCGCGTGGTTTCACCTTTTCCGTCCTCCTTAGGGGGCGGACGGGACCCAATCTACTTTAAACGCCTTCCTACTTCATGTTTTCTATCTACTTCTTCCGACCGATGGGTAATTGTGAATGTTAATGACCTAATGTTAATGACACACACACACACACTGGTTGTCGGCCTGGCTGCCATTTCCTTTTGCGCTCAGCGCACACGCGTGCAAATGTTGCACCGAGAGTGGTGATGCCGACTGTGACGGGTGGCACTCACATTCGCAATCGCTTCGTTATTTGTTTTTGCGCCGCAAGCGAAAGTGCCGCTCCTACCTATCAGGTGCTTAATGGGCCATCCCCACGTCGCCCCACCCCTGGCAGCTCCCCCTCCTGACCTCGCCGAGAGAGAGAATCGTGCTCGCTCCGCGGGAGGAGCTGCAGAAGCAGAACAAGCTGCTCGAGGCCCGCTTGCCTGTCGAGAAGGAGAAGGCCGACAAGCTCGAGGACTGCGCACTGGGAGGAGGCTGCAGGGAGCTTGTCGGAATGCTTGTTCTGGCTCCTCGTTGGTCGTTGCTTTTGCGACCTGGTGCCCTCTGGGGGGGAGGGTCTTAGTAGAAGGTTCCTTCGAAGGGCTTAGGCGACCCGTCCTCCTTCTCTCCTCCTCCTACGATTACTGCTCCTCCTCCTCCTCTTCCTCCTCCTCCTCCTCTTCCTCCTCGGGTCGCCCACGGCCCCGGGGAAACCGTGCACCCTCTGTGGGGGGGAGGGGGCGTCCCCGCCGCGCCCGCATTTTGGAGCCAAGCCGTCTTGGCTGCCGCGGTCTCGCACACAGCGTCGAGGCGGAGTGAGGTTGGAGCCGGTGCGCGCAGACACACACACTCACACACAACACACACAAAGATGCACACTCACACAGAGGCACAACACACTGACAGACACACACACACACACACACAACACACACACGCACGCACGCACGCACGCACGCACGCACGCACGCACGCACGCACGCACGCACACACACACACACACACACACACACACACACACACACGCACGCACGCACGCACGCACGCACGCACGCACGCACGCACGCACGCACGCACGCACGCACGCACGCACGCACGCACGCACGCGCGCGCGCGCACGCGCACGCGCACGCGCACGCGCACGCGCACGCGCACGCGCACGCGCACGCGCACGCGCACGCGCACGCGCACGCGCATACACACACACAGACACATACACACAAACACACACACACACACACACACACACGCGCGCACACGCGCACACTTTTCGCTCGCACGCAGTCGGGGCGGAAAAGCCGCTCGAGTGCTCAAAGTTAGCGGCCCAGCGTGGCGAACGGAAGCCGGGCGAAGTGATGCTCCCAGAGGCCGTGGGAGCAAGGAACAGCGGGCAAGCGGTATTAGCCAGCGACTCCAGACGACGAGGGGGCCAGCACGACAGGGGCAGGGAGGGCCAAGCAGAGCGAAGGGAGAACGCGAGGAGCCAGGAGGACAGCCGGACGGAGACGGACAGGAGTGGGAGAGGGAGGCAGCCGACAGTCGAAGAAGAACAACAAACACATAAACATAACCTTTTGGCGCTCCGCGCGGATCTCTTGGATCCCCGCTGGGCTCCCCCACTGGCGCCTCTGGAGCTGCCCCTGGCGCGCTCCGCGCGCCAGGGAGGGGGGTCCAGCGCGGATCCCAGGAGTCCGCGCGGAGCGCCAAAAGTTTGTGTCTGTGTGGCTGACAGCCGGACGGCAGGACCGCCGGGGGGCTCAGCGACAGGGGCATTGCACCACCCCCTTGCAGCTGGGCCCCCTGTTGGGTCACTGAGGGGAGTGGGAGAGGGAGGAGGAGGAGGAGGAGGAGGAGGAGGAGGAGGAGGAGGAGGAGGAGGAGGAGGAGGAGGAGGAGGAGGAGGAGGAGGAGGAGGAGGACAGCCAGACGGCAGGACAGCCGCGAGAGGGAGAGGGGCGGGCGGCGACGCAGCGACAGCCGACAGCCGGACGGAAGGGAGGGTCGAGGGAGACGGGAGCCTCGAGACGGGGGTCAGTGCAAGCGGGGGTCAGCCAGGGCACCAGATCCTGCAGGATCCTGCGAAGACCCCCTCTGGCTGACCCGGGTCAGCGAGCCGCTCGTGGCCGCGAGGCGGCCGCGCCTATTGGCCGACCCGGGTTTGCGAAGGCCTGCGTTGCACTTGTTTTGTTCGTGCATTGCAGTTTTTGGTTTCTTGCTGACCTGGGTCTGGATTGACCCGGGTCAGAAGATCCCCGAAAGGGAGACGGACTGGGCCGGCGGGCCGATGGACCGGGGAGGGGAAGCCGACGTCAAGCAGTAGCGAAGCGTCCTGGCTCGCCTATAGCCCTACCAAACAATGTTCTAAGAACCTTTCGTGGTTTCCACGAAATGTTCTCAGAACATTTCTGGCGGAGTCTGTCTTGTTTGAACACATCGGGTTCATGTTCTAAGAAGAGCGTCTTGTTCTTAGAACATTTCTGGGTTCTAAGAACAGTTCGTGGTAGGACTAGAGGAATGCCGGGACGGTCGGTCCCTGCTCAACGACGGGGGAAGGAGGGAGACGTAGCATCGCAGGGGCAAGGGGCGAGAGGCACGGAGCTGGGGGCGGAGACGGGGAAGAAGGCAGGGAGGAGGAGGAGGAGGAGCAGGAGGAGGAGGAGGTGGATGAGTGAGTGAGTGAGTGAGTGAGTGAGTGAGTGAGTGAGTGAGTGAGTGAGTGAGTGAGTGAGTGAGTGAGTGAGTGAGTGAGTGAGTGAGGAGGAGGAGGAGGAGGAGGAGGAGGAGGAGGAGGAGGAATGAGGAGGAGGAGGAGGAGGAGGAGGAGGAGGAGGCAGATGGGAGGATGAACGAGGAGGAGGAGGAATGAGGATGAGGAGACGGGGCACACGCACAAAGGCAGGGAAGAGGCAGGAAAGGGGGATGGCCTGCGCTGCCGGCCTGCATAGCTCTCGGAGGCCACATCCCCCGTAGCAACCTACCCGCCACCATCTTCTCCACGACCTGTCTCCGCTCGCCTCACGTCTGAAAGGTCGGGTGGGATGTGTGTAGGACGCCATGAGCGGAGGATGATGGAGGACATGGAAGGCTTCCACAGCCTAGCAGCTGCGGCGTCTCTTGCTGTTTGCTGTCTCATGTGATCGGTTCTCCTCTGCCCGCACAGTGTGGGCTCTCGCGGCCTGCGAGCGGCTTCGCGCATTGCTCGCCCCCGGCACTGATCCCATCATGGGATCGTTCCGCGGACACCCACGCTCCACGTTCCACGTTCCCGGTCAGGCCGCGTTGGGCATGAGGCCAGGGAGAGGGCCGAGGCCGGGCCGATCTTCCATGGTCTGCGAAGACCGGGTCGGAGGAAAGGGCGGCAAGGGGCCCAGGGAGAGGTCCAGACTTCTCACGTGGAGAAGAAGTTCCAGGCGGAGGTGCGTCGCCGTTTTCGGCCTCGGTGGGCTCTCGCCGGGCCCAGGGGCCGCCAGAAGACGACTCGGGATGAAGCGCCCGTGCCGGGGAGAGGGTCTGGACTTCCAGGGGCCCCGCGTTGAGAGAAGCAGAACGTTGGGAGGCCTACCGCGTGCAGCTGGTCCCGGCCCCGCCGGCGGGCTGGGGGGGCGTTCGTGGAGGAGTAATGTGCCCAGGAGGCGTCAGGCCCTGGAGGATTCCTCGTCTGATGAGGGCGGCGGTGATCCATAGCCAGTCCACGATTGGAGTTCCACCGGCTTCCAGACCCTGGCTTCCTGATCCAATGCTTCCTTAGTCAACGCGTTCACCGTAGTCGGCGCCTCCTGCGCCGGAGCGCCGGGAAAGCTTGCCGCACATGCAGCCGATGCGCTGCGGGCAGGGACGTCTGCATGGCGTTCTTTGCGCCGCCTGGGTCTTGTCTGATTGCCACGCTTCGGCGCGAAGCGCTGATCACGTCCCAGTCTCCAAGATTCTACCTTCTTTGCTTTTTGTTGCCAGCCTCCCGTCCAGGGCTCGCTTCGATTCCTCCGACTCGATTCGATTCGATTTCGATGGCCTCCGATTCCGATTCGACTTCGGATTCCGATTTGGATGCCGATTTCTAAACGGAGGCCTATTAGCCTTCCGATTTCTGCCGATTCGACTTTTCCTTCCTCGGCTGCCGATCTCCTCCGATCCGATTCATTTCGATTGCCGATCCGACTTACCGATTCGATTCTGGGCTGTATTGCCCGTCCCACGAAGCAGAGCGACGCGCATTCAGACTGCAAGGCATCGCGCGTCGCAGGGTCCGCCGCCTTGCTTCGCCGAGCAGCAGTTCCTCACCGTAGCACCCACTGATGCTCGGCCCTCCTCTTGCCCGCCCCGGCGAAGACTGGGAAGCGTGCTTGGATTGAATCGGGCATGTCACTCTACAGGAGGAGCATCCCAAATATTTATGTTTTGACTGCTTCAATTTTTCTTCGAAAACCCGCCTGAAGGAGAGCATGCCCGACCTAGTGCTTGGAGTGCCTGCCAGGAGAAGCTGTCAGCCCTGAAGGCCGAGCTCGAGGAGGCTCAGAAGAAGGGCCTGCCCAAGAAGACCGGTCCCTCGCAGGCCCCCGCCTCGCGGGGGAAGGAGGAGGCGGGAAGGCCCAGACGAGAGCAGGGCGGGGGGAAAAGGCATCCTCCTCCTCCTCCTCCTCCTCCTCCTCCTCCTCTTCCTCCTCCTCCCCCTCTCCTCCTCCTCCTCCTCCTCCTCCTCCTCCTCCTCCTCCTCCTCCTCCTCCTCCTCCTCCTCCCCCTCCTCATCCTCCTCCTCCTCCTCCTCGGAGGTGCATGTTTTTTTGGGGCTGTTCCCAATTTCGGCTTGCGCGGAGGGGTGCTGGCTTGCCCCGTACCCGCTCGTGCTCTGAATGCGTTGGATGGCGTCTCCGTGTCTTCGCCTGGTGCCCGCCAGCGGACCCACCCGGCGCCCGCCCCGTGCGGCAGCTTCGGGAGCCTTGAGACGGGGGTCAATGCAAACGGGGGTCAACCAGACCAGAGCGCCCGATCTTGCAGGATCCTGCAGGGCCAGGGTCGCATTGACCAGGGTTTGGGTGCAGGATTCTGCGGGATCCTGCAGTATCCTTCGCATTGACCCGGGTTTGGGTGCAGGGTCCTACAGGGTCCTGCAGGATTCTGCAAGGCCTGGCTGACCCAGGTTTGGATTGACCCGGTCAGAATATTCCCGACAGCTGGCATCTCAGGGTTTTCGCCCAGTGCCCGCACGCACATGCCCGTCTTGTGCCCTCCCCGTGGGTTGGCTGGCCTTCGAGCCACACAGCTTGCACGCTTACACCACAGCATTGCACGAACTACTGCATGCAGCGCATCGGTTCGACATTTGACGCCACCCGCCCGCCGAGGTCGGGGTTATCATCGTCCTCCTCCTCTTCTTCCTCCTCATCCTCTGCCTCCTTCTCCTTCCTCCTCCTCCTCCTCCTCGTCCTCGTCCTCCTCCTTCCCCTTCTCCTCCTCCCCCTCTTCCTCCTCATCCCCCCCCCTCAAGGGGGGCAGGAGGAGAAGGAGAAGGAGAAGGAGAAGCAGAACGAGGAGAAGGAGGAGGAGGAGGAGGAGGAGGAGGAGGAGGAGGAGGAGTGGAGGAGGAAAAGAAGCCAGAGAAGGACGACGAAGAGGAGGAGTACTCATTCGACTCATTCGTAATCGTTTTCCTTGTCCCCCTTACCATCCTCATCGTTGCTTTCGCCCCCCCCCCCCCCCCCGTTCCTCTTCCTTGTCCTGATCATCCGTCTCCTCCTCGTCCTGATCTCCCTCCTCCTTGTCCTCCTCCCGGTCCTCTTCTCCATCCTCCTCCTGACCATCTTCGTCGTCTTACGCGTCGCCGTAGGAGATGAAACAGGAGCCGCATCAGAAGCAGTCGTCACATGTGTTCAGGACGCTGTGCTACTGAATGTGGTAGGATCCGCAGTATTTGCCACAGTAAGTAATAGCTGTAGCAAGGTCTGGCCGAAGTAGGAATTATGCCAGGAGCTGCGGCGGGACATGTGTTTAAAGTTGAATTGAGATATGCACGATTGCTTGCAATTGGAACTGTACTACTGGCTGCAATGAGGGTTCAACTAAAAGCTGCACTCGGGACTTTAGAAAGATGTGCACCGTCAGCTGTGGTAGGACCCGCGACCTGCATCAAGAGTTGTAGGGAGAGCTGCACTCGTGGCTGTAATTGGAACTGTTGTAGGTGCTGGAGTTGTAGTGGGAGCTGTCGGAGGAGCTGCTCTGAGGGAATCGTGTTACTGGCTCTTAGAAGGAGCTGGAGTACGTCCTGCTATAGGAACTGTACGCAGGGCAGTAGTAAACGTTGTAGCGACAGCAGTACTGCTGATTGCAGCAGTCGGAGTTGTAACTGGAGCTGCACGAGCGGCTGCGACAAGGAATTGCAATGAGCGTTGTCTTAATATATGTGGTGAGCGTTGTATTAGGAGTTGTAGCTTGAGCTGTATTGCTGGCTGCTGCATTAGGAACTATGTCAAGGACTGCCGTGTCAAATGCATTGAGAACGTTGCTGGGGTTTGCCCGGTTGGTTGTAGTTGGTATGGTAGTAGGAATTGCGGTAGGAACAGGTGCGCAAGCTGTACTATTGGCATCATGGGAACGGCAATGACACTTGCCCTCGAATCTGTAGTAGGATGTGCAGCAGAAGCTGAACCAGGAACTGTAGCACGAGCTTCGGTGAAAGTTGTTTTGCCGACTGCAATTGGAGATTGTGTCGGAGTCCGAGTAAGAGTTGTAGAAGGAGCTGCTGTAAGAGTTGTAGCGGGGCCAGCCGTGCGAGCTCTACAGGAAGGCTTCGTAGAAGTTGTAGTGGGAGCTGTTTTCCCGATTGCAGCAGGAATTCTAGTGATAATTGTGGTGTACTACGCCACATTCAGTTTCGACATTGCAGTAGGACTTGTATTGGGATTTTGTTGTACGAGTTGTAGCGAGAGCGGTGGGAGTGCACGAATGTTCCGAATGGCTGTACAACATGCTAGGCTAGGTGCTGGACTGTAAACTGTAGTGGAGCCTGTACTACGGGTTGCATCAGGATCCGTATGAGGAGTTGCGGTAAGAGTTGGTGTGAGGCGTAAGTTAAGGAGGGTGGTGAGGGCTGTTTTACAGGCTGTATTTGAACATGGGACAGGACCTCTTCTAGGAGCGGGTGCAAGGAGGCTGTTGGAAGACTTATAGCGGGAGCCGTGCTATCAGCTGCAGACTGAGCCGGAATCGGCGCTTGACGTTTGGCGGTGTAAGAGTATTATTCGGAGTTAGTTCTAATTCACATTGTAGAGGCTGTTTTAGGAGCTGCGTTTCGAGCGGTACTACGTGTTGCGGAGAGAATTGCAATAAGGGCGGCACTCGAGATGCAGCGGGAAGTGTGCAGTGAACGGTCTTGGAGTTGTGGTAAGGCTTGCAGTGGGGGCGGCACTGGTTGCTGGAGTGAGATCTGCTGTACGAGTTGTAATTGGAGCTGGAGTGGGGGCTGTATTGCTGGCGGGATCCAGGTTTTAGTATGAGTTTTCGTGTGCGATGTACGCTGCAGGAGATGTAGTAAAAGCTGTAGTAGGCACTCTTGTGAGACTAATAATGGGATCTGCGCTACGGGCTGCAATAGGACTTGCGGTGGGACTTGTGATGGTAGCTGTGGTAGAGCTGCAATAGACACTGTAACATGGGCGGTATCAATAGCTGTTGTCGGAGCTGCAGTGCAGTGGGAGTCGTGCGAGTTGCCCGACTGGCTGCACAGTGGATTGTTGTAGGAGTTGTTTTGAAAGCTGCATTGGCTTGTGTACTCAGATTGTGGAGGAGTTGTAACCCGAGTTCTGCGAGAGGCTGCAGTGGGAGTTGTAGCGGGAGTTGTAAAACACATGGTGTTGTGAGAGTTGTATTCGGGCTGCAATAGACGGTGTATAAAGAGTTGTTTCAATAGTTGTCTTCGGAGATTTAGTGGGAGTTGTGAGAGTTGCACGATTGGTTGTGATATGGATTGTGTTGGGAGTTGAATTCGGGGCCGTCCTGGAAGCTCTACGATTGGCTGTCATAGGACCCATTGAATGAGCTGCAGGAGAGGAAGGTGAGGAGGAAAACGACGAGACCTCTTGAGGCCCTCTGGATGATACTGCGCCCGCCCAAGTCGCAGACTCGCATCGAAGTGCCCGCTGGGATGTGCCCAGCGGTCAGTGCTACCGCGGCCGCGTCGGTCGCGCCAAACTAGCTGGCCGCTGCGCGCGAGTGCTTGGGTTGGCGCGGCTGCAGAGATGCACCAGCCAACGCCAAGCACTCATCACAATCGCCGCCGCATGGGTTTTGCAAACCAAGTTGCGGGTGGGTGGGTGGGGTGTTTGCAAGAGTATGGAATAGGTCAACTCGTTTGTGAAACAAACAGTCGCACAACACATATTGCACCACATAGCTTGCGCAACAAAGAGTAGACCGCATGGACTGCAACATATGAAATGCACAACATATGGTGGAGCACGCAGGTTACACCACAGATGTTGCACCACACAGGTGGCACCACATAGCGTGTACCATTCAGAGTTCACAACGTCTATTGAACTGCGTAGACTGCACCAAGTTCATTGGCCAACATCTCTAACAGCACATAGAGTTCACAGTATAGTTTGAACCATACATATTGCGCCACATTTATTACACAACCTACATAGCTAGAAAAACAACGCTGGTTTACATATGTGTATGTGTATATTCACGTATATGCACGGTCGCCCAGCCGAGATTTCAAGCATCATTTCCCCAGCCAGACCGGCATCGGCACCCTCGTCATCTCTTGCAAAAGGGTCTCACACAAGCGTTTAAAAGGGTTTCTTGGGGCTTACCGGAAGCCTCCTGAGCGCCTTCTGGGGGCGTCTGTGGGCTTCCTCGGGCCATCCCGCTTCCAAACGTGGCCTCCCTGAACAACCGGGTCACGATTTGGAATGGTTCGGCGGGTGTTTTGGGGCCATTTCGATCCGTCATGGAGCTTTCTTCGGGCCATCTTGCGGTCCGTCTTGGGACTTTCTCGGATTGCCTGGAAGCCCTTTTGGGCACTTTTGGGAGGTGTTCGGCCTCCTGTGCGGTCTCGGGCGCCCAGATCATGCATTCCCAAGATCATGCAACAACGATGGAAAATCATTGTTTTATTCTGCGTTTCGAAAGCGGGTTCTCTTTGGGTCGTCTTCGGGCGTTTGGTGGGCCTCTTGGGGCTCTCGTCAAGCCGTTCGGCCGCCCTCCAGACCGATTTGGGCCCTGTTGGTTGGGCCCAGCAAGGGCGTCCAGGAGCTTCAGGAAGTTTGGGGGACCTTCTGCAAGGGCGTCCAGGGGCCACAGATCGGGGGGGGGCCGTTTTGGCGGTGGCGGGGGGGAGGGCGCGGGATTCCCCCTCTCCTGGGTCAGTAACATATGGGAAAAGGGAGGTGCGGAAAAGACGAGGGATACCGCACAGAGAAGGAGAAAACGTAAGAGAGTGTGTGTGTGTGGTTAGAATTTGAGGAGGTGAAATCAGAGAGCGTAGACAGCTAAGAAGAGAAGAGAAGAGAGAGTGAAGTAGCATCCACGGCGAGCAGGTGTGTGCTGGTT